AATATCTCACAGTCCAAAATTATCATATTTACAGTAATGCTCAAAACTCCATCATTCATTCCTTATCATCTTACTGTCTAAATCATCATGATTACGGTGATCATTGTAATAATTTAACCTCATATTTCTAATCTATCATCATATCTATTCTTTCTCTATGTATTATTTATCAATGTATAATCCTTTAAATAACTCTAAAAGTGGAAATTCTTTCTTGTCCAATACAACTATAAAACGGATGGAATTAGTTCTGTTTATAATCTTACCTGGTATACCGATACTTTATCATTGCTTTTCAATCATATCAAGCCGGATTACCTTAACACTAAACTAAGGATAACTCTTTCCTAACCAATCACCAATCACCTTTCCCAATCAATCACCTTTCCCAACCAATCACCTTTCCCAATCAGTTTAATAAATCATTTAAATATTTATTGCCATTTATCAACGATTATTTTATGTAAAATCTATTGATATATACGTTTTATTTATGTGATTATCAATAATTCTTTCATAAAAAAAAAAAAGTAATTTTTAGAGGCATAATGCTTTAGAAATTCCTATATTATCCATTCAATTCAATACAGTATCGATGTCAACGTTACTTACAAAAATTGCATCAACCAGCCAACAATTACGTTCTAATTTCAAGATTGATTTGATTGAAAATACTAATGATAATGAATGTTGTGAAATGCAGGAAGAGTTACCACTTAGTATCAGTTCAACGAGCGCAAATAATCGTTAGTTATTGTTTATTTTAATATTAGATGAAAATTATTGGAAGATTATTATAGTAAGATGATATTATCATCTTATCATTATATTTCAATTTTAAAGAAATATCTTGTATGATTATCATCTTATCATTACATTTTAATCTTAAAAAAATATCTTAGATGATATAATATAATAATTATTTTGAATTGTATGTTATACAATTTATTATTTTAGATTTTTAAAATTCTCAAATTACACTTCTATCGAAGATTGAAACATTTTGAAATAAGTTATTTTGATTTGTAAGATTATATAGCATAGTATTGTAAAATATATCATAGAATTTTAAATTGAATTCCAAAAAAAAAAAATTTGGAAATTTTTAGGAAATAAAATATTGATTAATTAATTTGAAACATTTATATGTTACATAATGAATGAAGCAATGATACTTTTAATTAATTAATTCATTACGAAAATATTATTGGATATGTTAAAATTTTAAAATAAATTAAATATTTCAGGTGCAAAAGCATCCAAACTATTAGCATTTTGTCAACAGATAACTTTACGAAGGGTTTTCCGCTTGATTGGTTTTAGTATTGGTTCATATCCACTTGCATATGTCATTGCTGCTATCATCATGTCAATTATGTCATTTGGAATTTATTATCTTAAATTGGAAGATCGAGTTCGTGATGGTTATACCCCGACAACATCACCATCAAGACGTGAAGCAAATTTACTACGAGAATTCACTAATTCATTTGGTTAGTTTTTTCATTAATTTAAAAAAAAAGAAGGGGAAGGGAAGAATGAAGTTGAAACTTGTTGAGATTTTAAAATTGAAATTTAATGAATTTGAATTGATTTTAGTGGCATTAAATATTGGATTGTTTAGGGTTAAATGATTGATAGATTATCTTTGAAAGGTATTTCTTTTAGTAAAAATTGTCATATAATTGATGTTATGATAAATTGATAAGATTGTATAGTACTTGAAAAGATTTTCCAATCCTTCCTTTCTTCAATTCAAAAATTCAAATTTTGATCGGATATGATCAAGCTTAATCATATAACTTCTGAATCTTAATTAATCCAATATTCCCAAATTTCTGGAATACAACTTTTAGCAATGTTCCGGATATGATCTATGATCCGGATAAATAATTCAATGATAACATTTGGAAGTTTATTTTTAATTTATCTCCGTTTTATATCAGGTGATCCAACACTTACCACATTAATGCTACAAGCTCGTGATGGTGGTTCCATGCATCGTTTGAAGTATTTGGAAGAAGCAGTTCGATTACATCGATATTTTATGGATAATTTCACTGTTCAGGTGCCTTCAACCGGTGAACAATTCGTATACGGTGAAATATGCGGGTTTTTATGTGATACAAATATTGTCATCGAATATTTTCACGTACATTTCATTCCCTTTTATTTATGATCTATTTTAATTTAATTATTGAATAGATTGATTTGTACAAAAATAATATAATGGATATTTCTTTCAGGAATTTTCACCAAATTCTTTAAGAATATTGTTTGTTTGTTTGTTTTAATAATCTTTTCTTCCCTTTTTTTTTCTTCCATACTATTTTTTCACTACATAATTTAACATATTAAATGCTTAAATTCTGGATGAAAATTAAATTTTGAAATTTTTATTTTTCAAAATATGAAATTAATCGATAAAGAATAATACTAGGAATTCATCATTTATTTGTTTTTGTTTTTTTTTTTTAGAGTGCATTATTGGAGGAATATAGGAAAGAGAAAACGGGTAAAAAACGTAGTGAATCAACCAATCTTACCTATCCAATTGCTAAAATTACTGGTTTTGATATTCATTTGGAACGTAATTTTTATGGTGTTCGTTTACGATCATATACAAATAATACCAATAATATGGATAATAGCAAGATCGATTCTAAAGCTATTAATGAGGAGATAATTATGAAAACGATCACCAATATTGAATATATTCAGGTGATTAATTATATGTAAGAAATTTCCACTTAGCATAATATGAATTACTATTATTATTACTATTATTTATTATTATTATTATTATTATTATTATTATTATTATTATTATTATTATTATTATTATTATTATTATTATTATTATTATTATTATTATTATTATTATTATTATTATTATTATTATTATTATTATTATTATTATTATTATTATTATTATTATTATTATTATATTATTATTATTATTA